AATGGATTTTTTGCAGTTATGAAGTCAAAGGAGGAGATTTAATTGTACTGTTAATTATTAAAAAAGACAGAAAAAAATAAAAAATGAATTTTGAACCATATTCACTTATAAAATTTATTGTTAGTTAGTTTTTATGTGTTCAAATAATAATTACTTTATGATAATAATGGAGTCATTGTGCACAGTGTTAATCAAATTATATAATTTCTACTTGATATAAGAAAATTGTTTGTTTAGATCTATAGGTATTTAGTATTTGAAGGGAATTTTATTTCAATAAGTTCTTTTTGAGTTCGTAAGAAAATATATGGGACACAAATAAACAATGTTTTTTTCGATTTCCTGAACATTAATAAAAGGTCAAAATACAGTTCAATTTAGGATATTTTTTTACTCATATAAAAATTTGTAATTTATTTTATTCCTATTTATATTCCCATAAATGTTTTTTTTTGTATCTGATTTCATTTAAATGACGAGTACCATCAAATTAATTTTAAGTGTATACAAATTGGTTCTGATAAAGCTAATGAGTACACTGTAATTTTTTTTATTGATCTTACACACTTTATAATAATGCATTATTTCAAATTTTATTATCTAAATTAATATCCATTACGTATTATTGAAACGTCTTCATTTTAAAATTATTATTATTTAAAGTGCAAAAGACTATGTTACCCAATATATATCTATCTCAACATGTAAAATACAAGTAATGTTTCATGGCCTTACTGTTGTAGTTTTGGTATCTTCATACCATTTAGAAACGATAAAGCATTTATGATTCACAGGAGTACCGTACGAAAGTTCACTTAAGTATTGTTTTGCATTTGTGTTTTTAGTTAAGAGCTTGCGGGTATTCATACATTTTTTAAACCCAACTATAGGTGTCGTATTAAAAAAGATGAACGTGTTGATAATGAGTAAATAAGGGTACTTGATTGACAATAGTAGTTAAAAAATAAGATTTAAAGTGAACAGAGCAATTCTCAAATAAAAAAAGCCTCAGAAGTGAATTGCTCCTGCTATGCAGTTCAATTTGCGGAAAAGCGATTTACAGAGACCGGCAGCCATGAAAATAAACCAAGAATAGGCAGGAAAAGAATTCCTAAAGCTCGTGAAGATAGATTGTTGATTAGGCATCAGGGATTTCATGAGTGCAGCAGTAGAACTTGGTTCAAGCTTTATCTGTAGAAAAAAGAAGTGAAGTATGTATTATATATTTTAAAAAAAAGGCTAGAAAAGTTGGATTAAAAGGGTGCCAAGTACACGAGAAGCCGTGGTTGTAAAAATGAATAGGAATTTAAGAAACCTAGATTCGGGTCCGTACAAAAAAGACTGGAAGAAGAAAGCCTGGTCCAGTGTACTTTCGTAAGATGAATCATGCACTGAAATATTGCTCTTCACAAAAAATATGTCTTGAAAATTACGTGATGGCCTGAGAATCATAAAACTGTATTTGTTTGAATCCAGTAGGAAATAAAACTTTTCCATTATCTCCCCTTTTCCCTCTCTTAGAGGGTGAATTTCCAAATATTTTCTTTTTGTGATAGTTTACTCCCCCTAACCAACATACATGAGAAACTTCAGCTCTCTACGACCAGTAGTTTCAGCTTTGCGTTGTTTGTCAGTTGGACACTCAGTCACTCAGTAACAGAAAAGTTTTATTTACATAGTTTTCTTATTATTATGTAAATTTTTCATGTGAGTGTTTGTTAAAAGTAATGTAATGTTTTTTAGTAATCATTGATAATAATTGTATTACTCAATTGCGATGAAACTAAAAAAAGGAGAATCAAGTGTCTGTATTTTTCTGTTTTATGTGTAATCTTTTCTTCTACACTATTCTAAGCAGAACATTATACGTATAACTTCTGAGCTTTTTCAGCCTTATTTTTATTATATTAGTTTAGCTATTTCACAGTTTGATTTTTAATTAAAATATTTATTTATTTTAAACATCAACACAAAATTAAAAATACATTTATAATAAATACTCATGACCAAATCTTTTCTTCATTAGAATTATAAGTATATTTATTAAGTGGAAATTTTAAAAAGCCTTTTGTGATACGATTTTGAAATAGGATATTATATTATTATTTTTTGTTTTAAAATCTTATCGTTATTAATAATTAATCTATGGTCTAATGTTTGTATGTATATGCATACATACAAATGTTAAGTGATAATCAATCTAATTATAAAATTTTCTTTTATTACATATTTACAAATAACATTTTTATTTAAATATTGTTATATCATATTTTTAAAGAAAAATTAAGAAAAACTTTTTAAATATATTTCTCTTACATGTTTTATGTGCGTATAATATGTAATAAATTTAACGTACTTAATGCGTCTTATAATCCCTGCAAAATATAATTTATAAAAATAAATTATAGTAGTCTGCGACAATTGAAAACGTGGCGCCTAAAATATTGCAGGTAATGTTTTATACTTTTTATAATATAAATTAATTAAAGATTGTCGAAAAAAATAAAGAAATATAATATATTTTGTATAGATATTAATATTCTATAAGGTAGACAGTATTATTATCGTCTAGTAGAATGAAGTTATTTAAGATGACGTTAAAGTCCACTAATCCGATAACTGAACCGTCTATCTTAAGGCTGGAATAGACGGCATGACAAATATCTATATATCTTCTTCTACCTGGAAATTTCCCAGCTATAGCCAGGGTCTGCCTTACATGTTGTGAATAGTTTTGGCTAATTGTTTTTACGACCGGCCGCCTGCCTGACATCAACAATCTTTGGGAATGCATTAATCAGTGATGTCTAAATACTCTTAGAAAGTACATATGACTCGGAAAAATCACATTGGTACTTGCCAGGATCGAACCCGCGCCCTCGTGCATGAGAGGTGGGCCTTTTAACCACTAGGCAACCACTGACTTCCACCACTTCTGACCACTGACAAATGTCTATCTTCTATATATATGTATAAAAATGGATTGCTGTTCCTTAGTCTCGCCAAAACTCGAGAACAGATGAACGGATTTATCTTATCTTAGTCTTGAAATGTTCGTGGAGGTTCAGGGAAGGTATAAACGCTGAAAAAAATTGATTTATTACTGGGAAAACTATAAAAATAGCCGTTTTCTATTTCCCATACAAACGTTTTTTTTTGACATTAGATTTGACAACTAACTAATATGTCAATCATTCTGTCGCACTTCAAAACACGGAGCTTACAGGTAAAATCCAAAAATATAAATAAAAAATGTAATAGATATTTATTGACTACTAGAAGACCTGGTGAACTTCGTATCGCCCTATAGTCAAGAAATATCTATTACGTTTTATTATTTATATTTTTGGAGTTTACCTGTAAGCCATAAATGTACGTGTTTTGAAGTGCGACAAAATGATTGACATATTAGTTATCAAATCTAATGTCAAAAAAAACGTTTGTATGGGAAATAGAAAAGGGCTGTTTTTATGGTTTTCCCTGTAGTGAATCAATTTTTTTCAGCTTTTATACCTTCCCTGAACCTCCACGAACATTTCAAAACTAAGATAAGATAAATCCGTTCAGCTTTTCTCGAGTTTTAGCGAGACTAAGGAACAGCAATCCATTTTTATATATATAGAAGATAGGGCGATATGAAGTTCGCTAGGTCAGCTAGTATCTAATAAAAGTATAAAAAAATAATTTCAATTGTAATCGCAATGTAGTATTGTTTTGTTAATGAAATTTTTCTATATTTCTACTGCATTTTTATAAAAAAAAAAACAAATAGTTTTGGTTGAACCAACACTGATTTATAAATTTTAACACATAAGTATGATTATTAATATAGATTTACAACAGCTGTAAACGTTGTATTTATATATTTTTTATGTTGTATATACTATCGTCAGTGGTTCTAATTTTCGAGGTGGCAGTGCAGTTTTGGCTTAAATTAATCGCTGGGGGGGATGTAACCGGACATTTTATTGGATTTGACTGCCGCTTTAGCCAGACAGGAGAGAGCGTGTTTAAAACGAATTACGAATGCAACTTACCTGTTTATTTCGTGATGTGGTCTAAGTTATATCAAGGAACCTGTTTATTAAAATGAAATTTATGTATTGTTTGTACTGATAAGTAATTGTAGAGAATTGTTAAAAAGATAAGAAGTTTTTAGACTCAGATATTGTAATAAAAAATAAAACGTTTATAATTTTTTAATATTTATTAAATATAAAATTTACGAGTAAGGACCACAGAAAAATGTCTTTGACAGCTACAACAGACATACATATTTCATACAAAACGAGCCGATCCAGTTAAACTCTATCAATAAAATTAACACAAAATAGAAATATATTTCATCAAGCAACTATTTCGATTATATTAAATGGCACTACTTAATTTGGAAAGAAGATATTTACATTTCATAAAATAAAAATCAACTAAGAATTTATTCAAACGTAAATGCTTGAGGTAACACAACATTTATCGTATTTTATAATACATAATCATTAATCACATTCACAAAAAAAATCACTTGTCTGATAACTTGTGTCCTCGTTTGAGAAAATGAGATGTAAATTATATTTTGTAACTTAAGCCTAACCGTATATACATCCACACAACCAATGTTATTAACAAAAGATCTACAAGCATCATTTAACGGGAACTCATAATACCTCTAGTAACTTTTATATTTACAAATTTTACAGTCTTGATAATAGATGCTATGTTGGTTATCGTCACGCCTAATTTTTTCTTAAAGATTTTTACACCAGCAAAATTAATCCTACTAACATCTAGGTAACAATATAATAGCAAACTTGAAAATATAATCAAGAAGTAACATTTGTATTGTCATTTATTTCAAAATGTATATAAACACAAATATAAAGTTAGACACATAAGTAACTTACAATTTTACTATATTATGCGTTATTTGGGCCAAAAAGCTAGTTATCATAAACGCCTGCTATATTACAAGAAAATATAGATTTATTTGTCCGTTCATCACTTTAAACACAGCTCTCAGGACCTGGCAAGTTATCTGCGAGAACATGTTCTCTTCTGCGTGTATTACCCTTGCTTTTTCTATGCAACGTAGAATTAGACAAACTACTAGAACTTAAAGTTGGTCCGCTTAGTGTGAGCGTTTGACTTTCAAAAGGTGATCCAATATTACCATTAGGACACACAAAGTTTGGACTTCCTAATGTTGGACTATTTGTTACTAAAAAGTTGGGCCTAAAATTACTTGCTAAAATAGGTTGAGATAAATTCTGATTAAGTGCGTCTTCCTGCCGACTGTTATGAACCAAGTCATTTCTTCCTGTTATCTAAAAAAATACATCTTGTTAAAATTTTAAATTTTACAATTTTTTTTGTACATTTTATTAAATACCTCTTGAGGATGTCCAGTTGAATCTAAAAGTGCAAGATCCTCTGCTGAAAACACAGCTCCTGTTTTATTCCAGTCCCCTTAAAAAAAGTTACAGTGAATAAAATAATTCAAGAAAAATCAATAAGAGAATATGTTCATGAATACCTCTAACTTCTTTTACACTTGGCCACTCGTCGGCTTCAACCGTCGAAGCTGGCGCTTTTTGACTTTCACCATCTTTAGAAAAAAATTAAAGGAATTATATTTTTACTGGACTAACAAAGTGAACGCGATAATTCAGAAGGCGTTGAAAAAGGGCAAATAAGGGACGGTAATATAAACTGGAGTTTGCTATTTTGCTTCCCTTGGGTTTGTTTTTCTACGTTCACTTGCAATTTTCTGCTTAAGATAAAAAGACTATTCCGACCGCGAAAACAAAAACTCCTTTATATTATTATATGAATTGACTGTGATAAATTTGTCAAAGCTTAATTAACTTACATTTTGTGAATATTGTAAACGGTTTTCCTTTTTATAATAAAAAAAAATATACAAGAATTTTCCTCCTCTTGGATTATAATCTTAATTAAATTGTTTAAATAAAAATACAAATACAGTATAAGAAGACTTGTCTGTTCGATATATTTCTGAAAATACCTGGTGGATTTAAAATATCTGGCTGTGGATCAGGCGTTTTAAGTTCTGGCGATGGTTTGATAGTATATGCTACAACATATCTTCTGCATCCATCACTTAACTCCAGCATATCACCTGGAGGATGTTTATGAGTTGGATGAGATCTCTTTCGACGGGCACAGAGCGCGGCGAATATTATTCCCCCAACGGCAAACACGGCTCCAAGTGACGCAGCAATTACCATTCCAAACGTTATTCCTCCCAATACATTTTTGCCATCTATTAGAAATTATAGCAAAAACAATTTTATTAACATGCTTAAAGGCACTTATGGTAATGATCTTACCAATTTCAATAATATATTTTCCTCAAGTTGTATAGGTATTCTTCATAGTTTTTTAACATATCATCTACATTTTTATGCCGGTTCAACAGTGATTGATGAAAATGTGAGTTCATATTATATATGCAAATAAGGGGTTCGAAATTATTTGGAATATTTTAGAACTTTCTTGGGGAACAATTTGGATGAAAAAATATCTATGTTTTTTATATTACATCATCTCGCTTCCTTACCTCAAATTCATTGTAAACATTGTAATTACAGATCATATTTAAAATAAATGTATGATAAATAACATTTCTTTTTCCAATTTTTAAGAATTATACGTATGTTAAAAGAATGTTTAAATAAGAATGTGGCTAGAAGCACAACTAATTCTGTTGGAAACTCGTTCTACTTATAAATACTACTGTATTTAAATTTATCTATTAAGAAACGAATTAGATACATAATATATAAATATAATTCAATTGTTAATCTTGAGTGTGAACAGTCATTTAATGCAAATATTAAGACGAAATCTTGTTATGATTTTACACTGATCCCTTGTAATAATATCTAAAATATTAAGCTTACCCGTTCTCCTGGCGGCGTCATTGAAAGCAATATTTTCCAGCAGAGTTTTCTCCGAATCTCCCTTGAGGTTCCTTGCATAGATGAGTAGATTAAATGTGGTCTCGGTCTCGCCAGCCGATATTTGCGAGAGATCTAACTTGAAAGTAGCTAAACCATCTGAAGTAAATATATTTTGTATATACATATTATGTTTGCATATAGGTAAAGCAATTTATTTCAGCTTGAGGTTGTGAAACGTGTAGTTAAACCGATTCAACTTTAGATATAAAAAAAATTATTAAAATAACAATATGCTTGAGTATAGTATAACATAGTGATTAGATTTTCTGTAATTTTAAAATCAAATTTATAAAATACTGTCATTTTATATCATTATTGAATTTTAATGTAGGCGCTATATAAATAAATTTCAAAACCCTAACATTTAAAGTTCATTAATTAAAGCGGCTTGTGATGTCCGCGGGGTATCCGTTCGTTTTAAAATCCTGAGCTGCATTTTAATGTAAAGAAAGAGCTGGCTCGGCATCTGCGAAATGAATATTCCGAGATCTAACCATTGGGATACCATTCTTCATGTAATATTAATATGATTCTTTTTCCGTTCTTGGCGGTTAATTACATTAAAAACTGAGAGATACCAGATATTTTAAATACTCTTATATACATTTTTATTCTTAAAAAACGATATGCAAATGTGTTTTTCAAAAATTATACACATAAAATACTCATGTACATTACGCTAATGCACACGCATGAAAATTAAGAACTTACAAAGAGAGATAAATGCTTATACTAGTAGATGTTATATTGTACATATATGTATGTATATTTGATTAATTCTGTATTTAATATTCTATAATTTAGTCCATCATCTATAAGTTTGTAAGGGAATTAGCAAAACCATGTTCGATAAATCGTATGGAGGCTTAATAACTCAGCGTAACTTAATGACGAAGTCACATCCCATGTATTATATTATTGTTACGTGATAGCCTACGCTTTAATTATATACAAGTAGATAAGGTCAGCAGATACTGTACAAGGTTTGTTAATTGATTGAGTTGAAACCTCCATGTATGTACCTTGTAATATAATTACCAATGTTACGTGACCCAGCAATGACAGTTGTCTAGTATGACAGTAAACAGTAAATGAAATATCATGAAAACTTGAATTGAAATTCAAGTAGAAAATGCACATTAAAAATGTATCACTACAAACGGAATTTGAACCCGCGACTTCTGAAATATCGAGTAATATATAATGTCGTGTTCGATGCGATAGCTTAATTGGCAGAGCGACTGAAACGTAATATTCCAAGTCAGTTTGCATTGCTTCGATGTATTTCAAATCCATATATTCTTTTTGAACTTAAATTATTTTTTTTAGTTTAAAATTTCTTAAATTTTAAAAACACATATATATACAAATAAATTCATTTGCTGAAAATTGTGATCAATGATTAGGAATTATTTGCTAGCAAGAAGTACCTAATAAAAAAATTGGACAAAAAAGTAATTATATGTTCAATAATGTAACGGTGATATTATGGTACATAGTTATTATTTTACCTGTATCGTTAGAGCTGCTATTGAATTTAGTCTTGCTCGTGATGGGATCTAGTGTTTCAAGCATAAAGGTTTGAGGTAGACCACCATCATATCCAGCAACACATCGTATTACCAACCAGTTCATCCCTTCAGAACTATTGGATCCGGTGTGAAGAGAACAGTTTTTAGGCGGAGCTGGGCGAGCTGTTGTAAATAATAAACAAAATTACATATATAAGCTTCTATCGTCGTTTTAGTAATATATTTAATATAAATGTACTACTGTTTTGGACAGTACAAGAAGTTTAATGACATTCATTGTAAAACATGATCAATAACGGAAACATCAATGTATATAGTTATTAATAATAATTTTTAGAAATAAATTAATTGAAAATTATATATGTACTGTTTAAAATATTAATTATAATATATACCTATATATTGAAAGTTTTTCCATTAATTTATAAAAAATAATGGAACCTCAATAATAGATGATTGTTTTGTTGTTACTACGTAGTATTTGAATATTTTATTAAAAGCTTGATACCTCAAAGCATTTTAAAGAAACAAGAGCTAAATATCCCACCAGATAGGACTAGAAAAATAAAAACTATATCATTAGTTTATTTCTGCTGAGCAAAAATATCCCAGAATCATGTTATCTTGTGCAATGTTAAAATTTTTAAAAACTATTTATTTCATAAACTTAATTTAACGAGTATAATATCTTATATCTACAATTATTTGCAGCAAATATCTAAAAAAATGATATAATTTTAATTTTCACGTCTACTCTATTCAAATTTTTAAAAGAATTGTATGCACATTGCACAATCAGTAGTTATTTTCATTACACTTAAAACAGGAGTTGAAAATCTCGTACATACATATAAACATTTATATTATACATAATTTTCACCAACTTGTAACTTCATAACATATTTTAGTTCTAATATCCAAACTATAATAACATCAAATTATATTACCCAAAAATATTTATTGTTTTTATAAAAATATTATGATGTACACTTGATCTGGGTTTATATTTCTCGAAAAGTTACAGCTTCATTTTATTTAGCATCATAAAAAACTCCTAAAATGGAAATATAAGCTGTATATAAAATATAAAACAGCATTATAAGTAGGCTTCGGAAGTTTATTGGGAGCGATAAAAACCTAGTGTTTACCGGCCACCCCTAAATTTACTGCGGTACGATGGAAAACTAACTAATCGATACTAAAATGTAATAGCCTGCTGCTACCACCTGAAAGTTTTCCATTACAGCCCGTGGATTATAACTCTATATTGTAGAAAATCACATTGAATGCAGTATCACGCTGAGAAAATACCGGCAAGATAGAACTAAAAGGAATATATGGGCCAAGAACATTATTTGTATTTAGGCGGGTTATTGCGGAGGTATCGTTTGTACTGCAGTAAGACTAACATTTTTCGGATTTTCTTTATTGTTTCCTATGCGGCTCTTTATCTTAAAGCTTTATTCTTTCGAAAATTTAACAATGATGACTTTTCATTTGAGACTCGTTATATAATTCAAGACGACTCTCACTTTTATGTAGGTGATTGTATAAATAGTGAATTTATAATATCATAATTGATATGTATTTTCGTATATTTAATTTTTAAAATCAATATCTTAATATTAAATTGCTTAATGTCATGATGGAATAATGTTAAACAATAGGTATACTCCTTTTTTGGATTGAAATATCGTTAATAGAATTAAAAGGTAGTATATTTTATAACACAGCGTTTCTTTCGATTATGTAATTATGAAAGATTGTATAAATTTAAAAGTAGAATTCCATTGATAATGCTTTAAAAAGTATGATAACGAATTGTCATTTATTTTATGTAAAAAACTTTAGAACTATTTGAAAGAAACTTAATCAAAAATGAAAAGTAATGAATATGTTTTAGAATACGTTTCGTAATAGGAAATTCACTTTCTTTAAAAATAATATTTTAATTTAAATTCGATTTGAATGACTTAACTACAATAAAGCTGAAATATAATGTGACCAGGTAAAAACGCCAATTATCAGGTTAAAGCAAATAAATGTTCAGTTAATTTTAACATGTTATTAATTGTATTTTTCTAAACTTAATGTAGTTTTTATATGAAATGATAAAAAACAGCCTTTTTATATATTCCCTTTAATATATTTGATATGAAAGGAATATTTTGTCAAAAGCCTTACATTTATCAACTGAATATGAGAAATCCCTTGAATATTATAATTTAATACTGAATAGTGACAGCATTTTATCAGTATAAATTCATTTTAGTTTTAACGTTACTCTAAATGAAACTAGGTCATTGTTTTCTGAGCGGCGGCGATGGTTTCAACGACACAAAAGAAAAAATTACTTCAATGTAGTTTTTAACTAACATTGAAATAACTATTTCAATAGTTCAGGCGAAATATGTGATTTAATAAATCTAACTAGTTTTATCCAGTAATTATGGAGCTTTGTATCTCGTTTCATGGAATTAAAGCAGAGAAATAGAATTAATTGGAAAAAATTGCCAACCCTCACTTCATAAAAACCTATTAAATTTAATACAAATTAATTTACAGTTTCATCAAGTAATAATGAGTAATAATATCAAAAACACACTCACACATTCAAACAGACATCGTACTTATACTCATAAATTTTATCACTAAATGTAACTCACATGCAGGTACTATTTGAAATACACATGGTTCGACTTGTCTACCGACTGAATTTGTACCGCGGCAACTTAGAGCACCATAGTCGCGTTCGCTTTGAGGCTTGTAGCTTAACTCGCTTGTACTGCCGTTGGCTGTCCCTGTGTTATAAAAAGGTTATTAAAAAAACGCATTATCCAAGTTACTGTCTTGTTCTAAGATGATTTAGTTGATATAAATCAAGCTTTTAGAATATCATCCTTTACGTGTAGCATTAAAGCAGTAAAATATAAAGTAAGTTCGATTTAAGAAAATTATTTTTCCAAGAGAGTTATTGATGTACTCATGGACATTTGCATGCTATTTTTAGGAAATTTTGGAGCTGAATACAAAGAAAGATGGGGTTGAATATTTGTATGATAATAGTATTGATGTATAGAATGATGTAAACATATCAAAAGAACAAGTTAGTGGATGAATTCAAAAGAAGTTTGTCTACATTAAAGTTAAACTAAGGACTGTACTCCGAGTCCTTATTTTATAATAACATTACTTACTACTATTGGGTTTCTTTCCCCACAAGGTCATGCTGGGGAGATATCTAAATGCTTGAAAATAATATTCCATTGTATCAAAATATCCCTATCAGAACACGCATTGTAAAGTCTAACAAATGTATCTAACAATAATATCTATCGAAATAATATAATTGAATATATCTTACCATCATGAGAATAAAAATATACACTCAAATACCAAAAAAACAAAAATGAAACTCAATTATTCTGCAGTTTGTTTTTACAATCTTACAAATATTATTTGATATATTGGTTGAGACAATTAATCAAGAACGTATTTCTTTTTTCGGTTCGTATTTGTATATAATTTTGTAAAATCCGAGAAAAAAAAATTATAAAAAATTAAATATAAGAAAAATCATGTCACTTAAGAAAAAGTTTTACAGTTGTCTTGAATAAGAAAAATAATAAAAAAAAATAATTATATAAAATGATATCTACACGTATTGATAATTTCTATTAGTTATCATAAATTCAGTTACATAAATTTTATCATTCAATTCATTCCCTAGTCTTAATTTGTTTCTACTTTGTTATTTAAATGTTTTTACAATTTTTAAATAATAATTTATTTGTTACTACATAAAGTATTTAACCAAATATTACCTTAAATAAATAACATAAATTCAGTTGAAACTCTTACCAAACTTTGTTGGAGATACATCAAGGCTCTCCCCACTATTATTAAACTGCCAAAAGAAGGTGACATCTGGGGGATTGGCGGTAACAGAACAGCGTATAAGTAGAGCTTCGTCTATCTGTGCACCTAACACTTGAGGTGAAGTGTGCGTGCAAACTGGTGTATCTATAGACAAATTACATGTTTAAAATTTATGATAAATGCCCGTTATAAGTAAATAGGTTACCTACACACGAACACTTACAGGGTAAATAAATCCATTCTTACTCGGAAACCATACTCATAAAAAGTAGTAAATGATACGGTAGCCTAGATAACAAATTAAGTGAAATATTTGGTCAGACTCTGTTCAACCCTTCTTTAGTGTTTTACTAAAAGGATAAAATAAAAAAAAAACGACAATACAATAGTATAATATATACCCTGAGTATTGCAAAACTAAGAATAATGTGATTTGTGCTTCAAAGTACTGAGCAACATGTGATATATTATGGGAATCCGGCAGGTGAAAATAATTGGCTCTAAATCAAACTCGACGCGCAAAAGTTTTAGCATAACAGAGTTATATTTAATGCTAAACATAAAACAATATAAAATTTGTACTTTGTTTACTCGCAGCTTGTGTAAATTGTAAAACGAGCTCTTATTAACACACAAAAGTGAAAGCCTTCGAATACAGTTCGTTAAATCATAACTGAAATCAGACGATATATAAATTTTATAGCCAACTGTTCCTCTCAGGCGGACTCAGTCGGTGACTGTGATTCATTAGAGTATACTCGTAATATTGCTCCCCTTTCTGGCAAAGATTTTCATTAAATTCTCAAATATTAATTCCTTTCAAATGCTTACTAAACGGATATCTCTTTGACGAAATACTGAGAATATATTCTAACAATTGCTATTATACTTGTTTTTGTATATGCTTCGACGTTTTTTTTCGATTTTCATTTATTTTGTCACAATTCATATAATATTTTTCTAAGAAAAAACATTCTGTATAAAAAATACAAGATACAAGATTCTTTGGTAAAATAGGAAATTAAAATTTGATGTCGAATGATTGGCCAAATCGACAACGTCAATCTTACGCGACCTACCTACCCTTATATTTATAAGAAATTGGAAGTGTACTAGCGTAGCTTTACTTTCGTAGCTCCTCGAATTTTGTTTTAACTTATAGTAGGCAACAATAATATTATCTTTCTCACATATTTATACAACATAGAGTTCTCAGTTGACATGATTCGTTAACAGTCATGAAATATGAATTCACCTTTTGTTTTGTGTGATGTGTATTTGCTTTGATGCACATTGTGTGATTGATGACTTAACGATGCTGTCAAAGTTCCCATTTAGAGCAACCACTAACGCTACTAACGTCTTTGATTGTGTCATATTTTCCTACATATATTCTAATAAGATTATTAAAAAATACACATGAGAGAGGCACGCATCGGCTATCTGAACCAATATTATGAATATAAAGCCTAATTACATAATATGTATTTACAAAACATGAAATTAGTTGTGTGCAAACTTGCAGAAAATAATGTCATTAAAATTTTAAATAAATATTTTAAAAATTCCGTAATTAATCCATTTTATTATCAATATGAATAGCGCAGTAAATTTATTAAAACGTGGGCTGTTTTTAAAATAAATATCAAAAAAGTTAGAATGATTAATGAATTTAAAAACGTTTTGATTCTGTATCGAATGAAGTGGTTTAATTTTCTCTAGAACAAAATTTACTTTTATTAGGGGTATTAGCAATCGCTTTTTAAAATAGACTAAAAGATTTGTTTTATTCTTATAAATCTATATAAAGCCGATAAGCCGAAGTGAGCCAATTATTCCATTAAGTTCTCGAAAGCATTGCGGATATAAATTTTAAATATTGGATAAACTTATGACGTAATATAAATACTTTTAAAAGAATGTTCATTGATTTTAAAATAGGTCTTATTGGACTAACGTCATTGTAAATGTTGTAACTTAAGTCTAGTATAAACGATTTTGGACTTCAACCACTAAGATATTAGATATAAATAAAAACAGGATATTTATCTTTTTTTTAAATTTTGCTAATGTATTAAATGACTTACGACCAGCTTAAACTAAATACATGACTCATCGAATGCATTTAATTTACAACAAAATAATAATTTCTACATATTTGGATAATTCTATGAAGTCCATATCCCCATGAATTTTCATCTATTGCTGTCAATTATACTGTCTATAAGAAAAAAGCATTCAATAACCATATGACTTTGAAAGCAAATCCATGTTTCTAAAGCATTTGATCTGCAAGCGTGAACAGTAAGAATACCTGTTGGTAGTGCAATAGGGGAATATGAAAAGAATTGATTGTTATAAAATACGTAGATATGAAACTGTATTTAATATTCTTGTCTATTTTAAAATATTCTTTAGAATGATTTTTGTTTGAATCGATCATTATAGAAATAAATTGAAATACATACATTGTATACTAAGATGAGTAGCTTGGCTCGCTGTTTCTCCGAGGGCATTGGTAGCACGACAAGAGTAGTCTCCGGTATAGTCCCTTGTAACCTTTTGTAGCACTAATGACTTCGTGCTGACAATGATGCCAGAAACCACGTTATGAAGTACTGGTTTTTCCTTTAATATATAAAAATAATTAACGAAATATATTAGTATAAAATAATAATGTGCTTTTTTATAAATTCAAAAAGTGTAGTATTATATTTTTTATTAAATTGTTTAAATAAGTTTCTGGGTATTTTTGTACAGTAAAATATTCTTTATTTCAAGGAGAATTTTGAATGTCTCTTAAGGCAGAGTGTGACACTTGCGTCCTTTCAACAATGTAATGGAATAAGGCAGTTTCTAAAATATAAGCAGTGTAATTATAGTACATTAAATAAGTTATAGCAATTATACCTCATATGTGTAGTAATTAGAAAATATAGCTACTTATTAACTTTCAGTTCAATTGAGTTCATAAAATGAAACCCGGTGCTAATGAATCTATTTGAATGATATACGTTTTTTGACATATTATGTGCTAAAAGCAATAGTCTACCTCTGGAATCTTTCCTCTAATAAAATCTTGAATAAAAAGCAATAGTTCTGGTTTAGAGTATATTTTTTGCTATTTGATAATTCAATTTGATTTGTGTATGGAACAGAAACAGCAAAATAAGTCGCTTTTGGCTTTGTTTCAAATTGTCGTTTCAAGCAAAGGTAAAGAATGAGAAATAAATAGGCTGTTGTAATATTCGAAATGTATAGTTTTTAAAAGCTGCAAATATATCAACTGATGCAATTGTTGATAAGGTTCAATATTAGTGTAGAATTTATGAAAATATTTTATTAAGAATGATAGTTTGTATATGCCAAACTGATTAAAATTATCCTCTAGCGTGTTTCCTGTGCTAAGGAGTAGTCATTTAAATGCCACATGTGTAAATTGTAACAATAATAATAGTATTATATTTAATTATTTAACTTCTCGCTGCGTCTGCTATTTTTAAATTTGATTTAGTTTTTCATAATTCTACACTACTTATGTTGAAACAACTACTTATTTTTTATTATTATTATTTTTAATATGTATACGTCGAATACTAAAACCATACATACATTCTAATAAATAAAAGATATGTGTATGTTCTGTTCATTGTCCATAAAAAAATTCAATATTTTCTTTAAATTATGTACATATAAAATTTATTTTATTTTGCTATTGTTACGCTCGTTATTTTATTTTAAAATCCCTATTTTTACAAAGGACTATTATATAAGTTTTGTTTAAAAAGTAAAAGATGTTTTTAGTTAAACTTTTGTGATGTGACTAAATAATATCGAATTATTTTATATAATCGAACGCAATTCTCGTAGCAAGCTACAAGAATAAAGAGAACCATAGATTCTCAATGTTTACTTTAAATATTTTTCTGAACTGGAAATATATATTGTAATTAAAAAGTAATATCTTATAAAAAATGTGACTAATAATATCATTGACGTTAAATAACGTTCTGCCTATATCTTCACAGATTTTGAGCTTTTCAAATTTTATTCTCTTTATATTCATGAAATATGAACCGAGTTTTATACAGTAGTTTTTTTATTTTATTTTACTGATTTATATAATAAAACTAAGTTGATATATTTCTTCTACTCGTGAAAATAAATGTGAAGGTGATATTAAATAAGTACGCAGAAAGTTAAGCTTTTCTATGAACCAAGGTCTGTTAATTAAAATATCTAATTAAAACTGTATGATTTTAATTACACAATGCTAAAAAATATTTGTCTTGACTTTATTGCAATGTAATTAATTACAGGCTTGGATCATAAATTTCAAATAAACGTTTTTAATAATTCAAATTTATAATTTTTTAAGAAGCTTTATTTAAATTCTTTTTTTTTATAATTCAGGGTTAGTCTGTAATATTATATTCGGGGTAAGTTGTAGTGAGATGGGCGTGAATTAGATCACGCTGCTGAGATCAGTTCCAATTAAGCAACCGAAGCTAGTACCATAATTCTAGAAAGTTTTCGTGTGAGGTCAACAATTTAATTCGGTATTATACATACGTGCGAGCACTACCTACACTTCGTATTCTAATTACGTGACTGTTTTGTGAAGAAAAATAAAAATACATAACTGTTTCTAATGTACATAGATGAGTTGAAAAGTATTATTTATTATATAAATGTTGGTGAATAAAAGTTGCATTTTTAAATACTTAGTAAATAAGTTATACGTTACGTTTTACATAGATTAATGCTTACATTATGATACCAGGATATTCTGTGTTCTTTGGGATTAGCGCGTACTGAACATTCGAAATAAACGTCATCGCCTTCCTTAATATCGTGAGGGTTTAATGTGCTGCCTAATGATAATGATACGACGGGTGGATCTGAAACAAACAAATGTGTTACAGAAAATAGTGATACAAAACTAAACATCGAAGTTACGTTAGAAAATCCAACATTACAGTTGTTCACATAATGATTTCTTGATTTTGTTGAAATGCCATGAAGAATATATAAAGAAAGAATCAATATCATTGACGACGTTATGTTCATTTGAACTTTTGCATAGTCAAATATGGACAGGTTGATCTGTTGTGGTTTTATTGACCATGAGCCGTTTACTGCTTGTGAAATTATTATTTATTGTTAACTAAAAGATTATACATTATAATATACTAATATAAAAATGATAAGTAACATATTAATTTTTATTAAACAACATAAAATTGTTAAAAAGTTAATTGTATCCAAGATTCTATAAGCCATTTAAACTTATGGACCGTCTCCCCTTTTAGCCGAATTCAGTTTAGGTCGATATTTCATTATATTAAATCACTTAAGTAAAATTACGTCTTGGGCTTTCTTCGAATCAGTTCTAATAACAACCGATGGGAGAAGGTTATATGCTTGAGTGGAAATTTATAAGAACGCTAACATAATTATAACATTAAAAGGAGAAATCGAAATGATGAGAATCAAAACATATATTTTTTACACAGTGCTTTTGTTTGTCAGAGTAAACTTCGTATTATTCTTTTATAAAAATATATGGAAAGCATTAAAATTAATCATACTTATTATTTGTAACAAATTACGTTTCTGTTTATAGGCCAAAATTTTTATACAATACGATTCACACAAGGAATCACAAGAATTGTGTATATTGGTATGTTTATAAAAACTAAGTGTTTTATTTGTAAGTATGATAATGTTTAAACGCGACGGCTTTTTTAATGGATCGTATTAATGCTTTCATATTGCATTAGGATATTTCGTCTTAATTTAAAATCTTTATTATTATTAATCATGAATATATATTTTACAAAATTATAACCGTCGCTGCACTTACTTTCACGAGAAGCTGCTAATCAAAAGTTGCAATATGTGGCAGATATTTTATCATATCATTAAAAAACACCCTAATCAACCAAATACATTGGGGTTAACCATATTTACCACAATGAAAACAAATTTTGTCAGTAACACAAAGCTAAACACTGAATATATGTATTGGAGACGTTATCAAATTACCCTGAAACATCGACTAATTTCTGGCAATCTGCATACTTGAATAAACATCAAAACCTATATTATGCAATATCTAGGCCTAATATTTAGGTATGCATATTTTATTATTAATAATTTCCAGTTAATAAATTACACTACTTATTTAGATTATTATAATTAGTTGGTACGCAATCCTTAAAAACAATCATATTAAATGAATATTAACAGAGATTGCGTGTTGAGAATGACGCGACTCGACTGTTTCAGACCTGAGTCAACATCTGGCTCGTTCAGGTGAAGGGTGTGCCCGGTGCCGCGCGTTGACACTTTATTGGCCATTAAAGACCTATAACGATGTCGCCCCGCAGCGCGAAACGTCCTCAAAATAAACATTTACGGTTTCTCCGTTAAATTGTTACTAAAACGATTCAAATCGGAGCAGAATTCTCCCTCTAAATGCTTTACGGTACACCGAGCAGAAGTAAGTAGAATTTATTTATATTTGAAAATTAATTTTCTCTGTCGTAATGGACTTGATCATTTTGATGACTGTAGAGTAAACCTATTAATACTATTTTTCAATATATGAATTATGTAATATTAATTATAAATATAAAATCTATTAATACTAGTAATAATATTTACAATTTTAAAACATAAACGTTCAACACATTATTCAGAAAATACACATGTTTATCATAGAAACTTAAATTTAAATCCCAGTTATTTAACGTAAACACACTGTAAAGTCAAACTTAAACCTCGTAAAAGCGTTAATCGAACCCTAAAACTGGCGTAGCGTATTCAGTGGTTAGAACTAGTTTTTGGTCAGATCTTTATGTTGATGTTGGGATCCCTACATCTGAGATTTTAATTACTTTTATAGGGCTTCGGGGCTTCCAATCCACACGATAATGGAATACCTTTAATGTTTTGGTTTGTCTATAAGATCGTTTAAAATGTGTAATCCTTTTATTTGTTGCATACTTTTAGAATAAATAATTAACCAAGATAGTTTTATCATATTTGTAACAAACCCAACATTTTTTAAAGTATGCTATGTCTACTACAGAAAAAAAATTAAAAACACGTCTTTGCATTCTTTTCAACATTTTTTTTTCCTTACCGGTCCTACAAATCCGACACGTAGTTTGCATCTTCATTGGTTGTGTGGAAGAAATCATGAGATGGCGATAAGACCGGCTATTTGTACCCTGCATTCGTTCCTTAGCATTGTTTTGTTCTTTTATCTTTTATTCTTTGTATCTGGCTTACGAAACGCATGGGTCTAATTCTTATTCTTCTTTATGTCTTTTTAATGTTATAAAAATATGTACACAACATAACAAAATAATTAGTTCCTGTAAGGTCAGTGGCTAGAGTGTAAATAATGCGTCAAGCTAAATACGACTTAATTACTCTAAAGTTAAACTAGCGCCCAACTTTCGCTTTGGATAAACTGTTTGTAAAGTTCCGCAGTGCATTTACTTTGATCCTCGTACCTTTAAGCCGATTTGGCGTCGGATATTAAAAATGAACGCTTAAAATTATTATGATCTTTTTTGTTTGTTGATGTCAATATTTTATGAAGTAAAAATAAATATATAAATCATTTGAATAATTTAATCATATAGTTTATTTTATATAACGAAATATTAAAAAAGTATAGGTAGTTTTAATTTACTGATATCAAGTTGAATGACCTGACTTTGCATCGTAAATAGTCGCTAGACAAAACTGAATTAGGCTAAACTAGTTCGCAACTTGCACTATATAAACTGTTCTGAAAGTTCAGGCGCATATGCCCTGAACGGGGCTTGAACGGTCCGTCGCTTGTTTATGTTAATGTCCAAAGACAATTATGGAATTTCAATTTAAATCCGTTTACCGAGATTTCGACCTCAAGTGGTAATGCATCCATATCATGAGCAATAATATTTGTTGTATGGAAATGGTATTTCTAAAATTTATCCGACAAGTCATAATTACGTTTTTTATCTTCCACGTTTTGCATTTTGTATATATGTTATTCATTTTTATGCCCTTCATGGTAGTGTTCTATAAATATTTAAGAAAAATTTAATTTAAGTAGAGAGCAAATAAGGTTGAATTAATTTAAGACTTCACTTTGACATGGTCTAAGTTTTACTTAGTTCTGGCCACAGCTAAATTAGACGGAATTAATTCAGAACAAGTTTCGTAAGGTAGTTTTGGATATGCTTTAAAACTTCTTTAAAATCTGCTTTAACATAAACTAACATTACAGCTTTAAGCTTAATTTATAAAGTCATTACAAATCTACCCAATTTTATTAATTTAACTAAGAAATGTCAGTAGACGGAGTGGTTTTATTTATTATACAAGAAATTCAGAATAAATATATTTTGAACCTATTCCCTTTTCTGAGGAAGAATAATAGAAAATGATAATTACTGTTTACATTACCTCAAAGTCATCTATCCCTACTAATATTATACTAATTATACTTAATACTAGTATTATAAATGCGAAAGTCACTCTGTCTGTCTGTCTGTCTGTTACGCTATCGCGCCTAAACCACTGAACCGATTTTAATGAAATTTAGTACAGAGATTGAGTTGACCTTGAGAAAGAATGTAGGATAATTTTTATCTCAGACTTTTAAGAAGTTCTCTTGGCAACGCGATATAACCGAACTCGACGCGGGCGAAGCCGAGGACGGAAAGCTAGTAATGTTATATATTAATGATGCTACCAGAAGAGTTAAACATTTAAATATTATTTTTAGCTATATTTTTCAAGACAGATGTATACGAACATGAAAAAACTTTGTCTTTAATTATAAGAATTTAATAAATTTGAGATAACATTACTAACAAGACTTTCAAAATAGTAAACTCACTCAAAATAGTTACAACTTAGTTATAAAAGTATTAAAACTCATAAAGAGAAATAAAACCACTTGTAGTCGTGATAATAACGGCTAAACATCCCTTGGCTCTATATAACCAAGTCAATAATTGGAAAATATTGCGGGCGTCTTTACGAGCGGACTCGCAGCGGGCAGAGACGCTAATATTTCTGTAGCCTCCCCATGTTGTAACGAAGCTAATACTTTTACAGCTTATATTTTTCTACTTAAATGGATATTAACTATCGGAGAAATTGGTTTTCCTTTTCTTATATTTCCCTTTCTTCTATTTTCAAAGCGTTATTTATTCAACTATTTATGTATCCTTTAAAAAAAAAGTGTGAATATTGAAAATTTTGTTTATATGTTTAACCTTTACAAAGAATTGTTTTATTTAATCAGCACATAAACTTGTAGAATTAAAACTTTTAATGAGGAAAATTGTTTTAGATGTTCGTTTTCATAAGCTAGTGTTAAACAATGTTGTTTAGGCAAGGAAAAAGTTTATATGAATTCATCTTACATCATCCCACAGATATTATAATGGCGTATGTTTATAATTTTGTACCTTGTTACTCAATCTAGTACATTCCACTTAATCAACTTCTTAATTCAAATATGTTAGTTTACTGTTTCTACGTGGGTAGCTCTGGTACCTACACATATTTTATTTTAAAGCGTGGAGAATCTCTTCACTTAAATTAAAATATATGAACGTAAAAGCGGTACAATATCATATCAAATAACATTGAGATCAAAGGAAGTGAAAAGTATTCAAAATTTGTCCCTAATGACACCCAAAATACTGTCATGAGTGATTTATTTGTGTGCTTGATAAACATAATTTCATATACATTCCACCATTTTACATTATACAAGAACAGAAATTTCTGTTGAATAGAAAAAATCTAAAATATTTTACTTAGGTTTATTGTCATACAAATTCGAGTCGGAAGCAATTTGTTTAATGTTACATATTACGGAAAATAGAATAAGATCAAGAGAATACAAATTTAATTAAGGTGCAGTATTTCTGTTTATTGTTACTCCCATAATTGCGCGTTTGCTTTGAGTTTAACAAGTCCCAAGATTCTTAGACCGAGCATTTTCTCGCAATATGTCAACAACATAAAATACGGACTGCCTTTTACAATGACATATTACTGTGTTAGTTGCGTTTGTCTTTATTGTTGATATGTTTATTTAGAGGGAACAAGTAAAGTCTTACAATGCGAACTGGAAAGAAATAATATTAATTGTAGTCTGTATATAACAGGTCTATTACAATGTGACTTTATATGTTACATTATTTCAAATTTTAGAAAACATGTCACTTAATAAAATAGAAGAAAATGAAGGTCAGCACAATAAAAAATTTCGTCACGGCTCATTAAACACCTTTTTCCACAATTATATAAATTGCTTAAAAAATTATTGAAAAGTCTGAATAAAAACAATTCGATATAATTATCTTAACGTGATACTAACTTTTAATGTCTGAGTCAATTAAAATTTTTACGCTTACGCTCCAATCTCAATTTTCAAGAAAATGTCTTAAATTAATAATGGCCAGCTTATATTTAAAGTTGTTAGTTACTTTAAATTAAATAAGTAAATAATATTAGAAAAATAAAGCACGTATTTCTCGGTACCAATAGTTTCATTTTGCACCTTCATACTGGATCTTGACGGGTTTTAAGTTTTTTTCATAGATATAAGTGACGGATCTTATCTTGGAATGAATTGAATCTTGGGATTTGTAAATTAAATATTTTATGGAACAGCGTCAAGGTTCATGATGAAAGATCATTCTATGAATACAGGACAGATGAGTACCATTTTACAAAGTTAGATGGTGATCTCATAATATGTACATTGACTTGTAATTTGCTTCTAGCAAAGTGGTCTTAACAAGTATAATGGAAAAAAAAATCGTTAAATTAATTTACTTCTAATTTCACTGCAATCTGTAGGAATCGTTTTACTTATAAATTTTAATCGGGATAAAGTTTAAGCGTAAGTTAATTTCATGAGAATATATAATTAGCTTCATGATATCTTCATAATATAAAATTACACAGTATAAATGCGTATAGCTCGTAACAATTATTCCCTTCCATACTATAAACATCGCGACTGTGTGTCGCAAAGTGCTGAGTACTTAAGTAGCAATAATAATTAAACTTAATGATGTTAGAGATGTGCAAACTGGTTGAGCTTAGCTCCTTTATTGCTTACTTTGTGATATCCATAGAATATCTCAAATTAAGAAGGAGATTGCGTCATACACTTGTCTTGACAAACAGGTGGGGCGTACAAATTGGGTCAGGCTCGAATTTCGTTAAGAAAATGTATATACCGTTTCGTGTTTTCATGATTCGGGGGAAAATATGTCGACTTGTGTGATGCTTTTTGATTATTTTTATGAATAGAAATGTTGATGTCTGTCAGTGAAATATTATAAATGGATAAGGTCACGTTATATTTCGTTAGATTATTATTAATGTATGAACGTGTCTATTAAATCCTATTGTTGTTTATAATATGAGTAAATAATGTCAAAATAAAATATAGAATAAAAGTGAACAACATATTGATGAATTACGACGACTTAAAATAAGGAAAATAAAACAAGAATGATAAAGAGTAATTGAAAAATAGTACACATTAAGACTTACAAACGACATCCAGTTTGAAAGAATCTTCTATGCTTTGTCCGGGAAGCGCGTTGTTATCTGCTTGACATTTTATTTGGACGCCATCGTCTTCTGGAAGTGGCATAAATTGCAGCGTGCTGCTCACCCAAGTGTCATTAGATGCATCTGTTATCTAATAGAAAATAAATTCAATACATTAAACTGTAAAAAATCTATTTTGCTTAATAACACTGAAAAAACAGTTTTTTTATAGATACAAACGTCCAGGGTAAATAATAGAAATGTAAATATCAAAATCGAGAAGAAGCAATATTATCAATGATATAATTAATATGTTAGGCTACTATTATTCAGTTTTAATATAATTGAGAAAAACGTATACTTATATAATGAAGTCCGTTTACACAATCTAAAAGGTGAAATTTCAACTGAAATGTCCCGTTTCAGTCGTTAGGCTAATAAAATTATCGTTTCTTTATTACAGAAAATAGTAAAATGATATTACTAGAACATTTGAATTATTATAGTGTTTAAAATACCAAAATATTCTGTTATAAAATCAACAAATGATATATAAATCATGAAAGGGAAAACAAAACCACACGGTACATTTACTTAGACAGAAAAATTACACAACAAAATCATGAATTAATTAAATTAATTATTATCAATCGTTTACATTTCGACTCGTGTAAAAAATGCCTATGCCTCTATTCATTAAATTTAACAATATAAAAGCTGGTATTTAAAAAATGTCACCTCGGCACTGAGTTGTCAAATAAAACGAGCTTAAAAAATAAATTGCCAAAAGCTGTAAGAGATATAAAGCGAAGTATTTAAATAGTTTAATTTATTTAAAATGTTGAAATATTAGTAGGTATGTGGAAGTGGATGAAACTCACATAAAGCACTATAGTTGAAAGAAACCTTTTGAAAATAGTTGGGTAAGCTGAATAAACAGTTGAATGTCAATAGAGTTATTAATATACTTTATAACTGACAGTTAAGTATTACGATTATGCTTTAAAATTGTTGAAACGGTTTATCTTTTTAACGACTATTTTTAGTTATGATTACGTTTTTTCTATTGACGGTGGTTTTAAATAAAATCACAAAAAGTGCGTCGATTATGTTTTTTATATAAAAGAATATAATTTGTTATAAAAATTATAACTAACTTTTCCTCTTTTAAATTTTCTATTGTCCTTGAACCAGGTCAACTGCGCGGGCGGGCGGCTTCCCTCTGACACACACGATAAGCTGACGTAGCGTTCCGAAGATAACGTCACTGGCTTGTTCTGTATCTGTACCAGCGTTGGTTTCACTATAACAAATGTGTTTTGGTTTCATGCTTTGTAAGCTTTGTTTGTTAACAAAGAATTTGAGTTGCTGCTATCAGAAGCGATTCAAGACATGTAATTTCTTTAATGTTCCACCATAGGATCGTTCTTTTCCAGGAGGGGAAGAGAAAATATTTCTTCTATGAAATCTCCTTAAAAAATATATTTTACTGACTATAATATCCGCTATTGGTATAAATATGTTTACATAAATTTTATATGAAACTACTAATTTGAAACATTAATATAAAAAAATAAACTGTGTGCAAAAGATTCTAAATAAAATAAATTTATGTCCGTTCATTATATGACTGAAAGTTGGGAGCTGAAATCGCGTTTGCTAATGGGTTTTAAAATCAAGTATAAAATTATTTCTGCTGGTTTTACTTTTAATAAAACTGATTACCTCTGTTCAGCTTACTAGATCTACATCTAGAATTGAATTTCAGCTATAATCTGATATTACGCTAAATTATCAGAAATTAAACTTCTATTTTTATTAGACATTTCTTTATATTATAAGAATATTTTACAATTATGGTACTTACGGTTCATCTCTAATCGTACTGTTTTTTCTTGTGGACTAACAAGGTTGGTATTAGAGGCTCTGCACTTGAACGTAGTGTTTAGATGGATTCGCTTTACATGAGGTAATTCTAGCTTGTTAACAACAACGTGTGTGTCAGTCTTCTCTCCTATGTATTGTGGAGCTGGTATGTTATCGATTAACCAGATAACCGTTGGCGCTGGGCGACCTGCGATTAAATAAGATCATATCATATTTAATTTTAAAAGCTTTTACGTAAATTGCAGTAAATTTATTTTAGTTTAAGTGAAATATTGAAACTCAATGTTCAAGCAGATGTCTTTAATTGATTGAACTGAAAATTATTATTTATTGGCAATGTACGGTTGTGTCGTCATTATTAATCCAAAAAGGCGGCATAAACAAAATAATGAAGAAGTTACTTTTTATGTATTTCTTCAATATGGGTATCAAATATAAGAGCTTGTAAACGATAATTCAAAAAATGTATCAAACGATAATAATGACGTCAGGAATAAATTAAAAGTCAAAAACCTTTCCCGTTTATTTTTAAATGGGCTGATGCAATGAGACAATTAAAGGTCTTAGTCATCTAAAATTATATAGATTACAGTTTGAAGAGGACACATATCTCTTTTTTATGGTTTCTTAATTTGAAGCAATGACCTCAGCTAGAGCAATTATTATATTCAATGAATACGAAACCCTTTATTTATTGCCTAGTCAGTAATGCAGAGTTTTATATTAACAGAGATTGAAATGATTATCTGTACTTAAATGACATACGAGTATATATAAATTTATAAATTTAAATTAAATTTTTCTTCCATATGGTTTCCTCCCATCACTTGGCAAGATTTGGTAATAATATCTTCTTGAGTATACTAGATTTGGCCAAGTACTTGGGCCGCAGCCAAATTTTGGTAGATAATGCAAGCCATGTGGACAGTTAAACAATAGTTTGTTGAAGCGTGCGTTCACCACATGACAATATGGACATATATCAAAACAAGTGATATTTTATTTAATGATTCAATTAAGTTGTTTTTACAAAAAAAAAAAAAAATAGAATAGGATTTTTATAGGCAAGAATTATTTCATAATACTCAATCACTGATGTATTTCCTAGTTTTACGTCATAGATAAACGCTACAAAAATGTAAAGAATGTGAGACACATAAAAATAAAGGTAAAAATGGCGACATATACTCAAAACACATTAAGGTATGTTTTAAAAAGTGTGTATTAAAATTCATAGTTTTTAAATATGTTCAAATATGATAGTTTTTAGCTTTGAGTGCAACATAAAATCAGTAAGGCTTTATAAAATTTAAAAGCTTTATATCTACATAATGTTTCAGTGTAAAAGTAAATAAACTTAAAAGTAGCTGGAATGTTAAAGTATAAAAAGACATCCTAAAGTGGTAACAAAGAAGACTATTAAGTCTTTGAAACTTCGGAATCTTTGATTACTCTGAGAAACTTTTATTTACACGATTTAATTAAATATTCTGGGATGACTTTTCATAGGCGACATTGCCCTGCCTTACGGGGAATATGAATAAAATAAACATTTTACGCAATGTTTTAAATTACACTTAAATTATAAATAAAGGCATGTTGTAAATAATACTTATAACACACTGAATTGATTAAGACGTAAGGTGGAAAGATTCAGATTTTTTTACCACATACAATTAACATTTAAATATGTAGTTGTTACAGACTATGTCGCAAATGTTAGCTCTAAATAAACGGACGGTTTAGGATTTAAGAAGGTGTGTCTATGTGTTTATTAGTAGTAAAGTTCAGCTAAATAGGAAAATCAAATATTAAAAACAAAATTGTTGTATATATAATTTAAGCTTCAATATAGTTTTCTGCTTTATAAATTAAAAACTATTTTAATTTGAAAAAAGATTTAAGAAAAACACAGTTTTCTTTTCAAGACGTATTATAATTTTAAAGTGTTTTTGACCATCTTTGACTAAAAACAGAATTAACTAAAACATGATTACATTGACAACATTATACCTTTAGCGGATGCTTCTATTTAATCTTGAGTTCAAACTTTTTCGTTTGAGTCTTGCGCTATCGGGATTAAGTTTTTAAATAAATTGTTTATTACATGACTTACTTTTAATGAAAGTCCAATATTTTATCAAGTTTATTTTAGATAAAACATGCAAAATGCAACATTTTTTCTCCTTCATAAATCCTTATTTGGTATAAAATATTAAACAAAGTAATCGTATGTGGACATTAAGATGAAAAGTATACAGGTTCTATCACCGGAGTCTGTAAAAGTTTTTTAACAATATACATTATCTACCAGTCTGAACCTTTGTGAAAAGGTAATAAAATAGGCAGAGACCCTGTAATCTTTTAGCTCTTTGGAGCAATCTAACTTGAAACACCTACGCTATAGCGATATCTTATCCAATTTATACTTTCGTCAAGTTCAAATTGTGTAATTCTAGCTAAATGGAGCAGTGTGAAGGGCAGTACTAAGTTGGGGTGGTCGTGGCGGGCGTGGCTTTCACGTAATTGTGCTATCACACTTCGACCCGAATCTTTTGAGTCAGAGTCGCCACGATATTTCTCCGAAATATACAAAATTTCAATTGCTACAAAAAAAACTTATTCATATTTTTGCTTGTATTTTAAAGAGTGTGTAAGAATATATTCCTGGTGTACTAATTGTAATCAATTTCTTGGTTTGTTTTACGAATAAAGAAAATGACGTTATCCGGTAAATTAATAGTAAAAGTAGCTAGTAAAATTGAATATTAAGTTGATATATAATTTTCTAATAATTTCATACGTACTTATAATATTATATATATAGTGAATAGCCTAATACCTATTATACGCTAATTGAATTTGTATGATATAAATTAACAAAGTTAACTGTTTAAGTTTATTAAATTTATTTATTATTTTGTTGTTATTTTTAAAATATATTTCTACAGCAAAATTATTAAACGTTAAAGTGTATAATTTGACTATTAGCTTATATCATGAAGCGATTCAGCAAATTCGACCGCAGCGGCATGAAATGACAACCTAATCCCTAGGGCTATGCATAATTCTGATTTGAATCCTTAAGAGCTCCTTGGATTAGCAACTGTTTATACAAGAAGATTTTCAACTTACCGTAATGTTATGGGACTTGACGAAACATGACGCATACAACTTTAGAATTCCCACGTTGTATTTAATAATGGGTTTAATTTTATTCATGTTTAAAAGGTTTTGAAAGCGCTGGAAATTCAGCGACAAAATATTCCTGTCACGGATTTTACTTTGCGAAATGTGAAAGCGATTCAATTTTTACTTAGAAGTCCGTATAAATTGTAATTAGCTGAATTGTTTTTCATTGATCATATTTTTCAAAAAATGATTCATACGAATATTCGATCACATTCTATAGTGAAATGAGACAATTGTTTACTCAATATTGTTTTAATCATGGTACAGAAAACTTTACGAAGTATTAATAATAAACGAGGATACATATCGATGAAACACTGACCAACAGCTAATCCTCTTCTTGTTATTTAGTGGCAAGGCATTGCCAAATCTTCCATATTACAGGGAGAATTTGTTAACTAAAATAACAAGTTATTTCGCAAGTATAATTTTGTATTGAACATCCCTTTCCTGGGGCGATAGATAACTTGCGAGAGTGCCATTTGGAGCCGATCTCCCAGTGACTTATCGGCAAGTTTAAGAGCGATATATCAAAGTAATCGGTTTAATTTCTCATCTCCCACTTGGGTAGGAAATTTATGCTTATTTCTTGACTGATATCATCCTGATGAGGTATAATGGATTATTTGATGCTGTTGATGAATGTCCTTAAGTAATTAGTCTGTCATAGCGATGTTGCTTTTCGTTATGTGAAAATGTTTTACAAGTAAAGTTGAAGAGAATTACCAGTTTCATGTCATAAAGTAGGCCTTTTGTATAAAAGTGGTTTTTTCTAGATTAGCAACCAACGTGAAAGACTAGCACGTACTTAATGCGGCACATGTGTTCCTAAACGCTTACAGCCCCCAAGATGATATTTAGAAGTCGATTTGGAAGATAATGTTGTAGCAAAGTATTTTACTACAACAGTGGGTTAATATTTAAAGATTTATGGATTAATTTTTATATTATTCTCTATACATTTTTTATATATTGCATACTTTAAAATGTTGAACCTATTCGACAGCAAACGTACAAAAACTGATATTAACATTTTGACTCCAACAAGATAAAATGTTAAATTTAAGTCAACAAAACAACAGTGTAGTAAATATAAGGTAGAAAAGCCCTTAAAATATACTTAAATCTGTAAGGCAAAAAACATTTGTTTATTTAAATTGCCTTTAATATAAATTAAAATAAATATAAGGAATACAAAATCATGTGTAAGATTTAAAACATAGTTCATTAATTCAGATTAAATAAAAATAAAGTTTTAAAATAGTTTCTCACCTCCTCTGACCTCGCAAACGAGGACAAGCTCGTTGCCCTCTTCGAGCGGACCCACCACGCCCGAAACATCTCGCCCAGACTTGTCGTATAGTATCAGTTGATGTGGTGGAACTGGAACAAGTGAAATTATATCTAGCGCACGTTTTCTAAGCTTTAAGTACCTCTGATGATCGTGTAACGTAAATATTAAATATAACTTTTAAACAACTTCATATATATACTATGTGAAATAATATCACACATATGTTTATGTATGTAACAATATTACGTTTAAGTAACGCCGATATACATTTTAATGTATGATTTCAGTTTCAATAAAGCAATATACTAATAAAACATGAACAAGCAATATAAACGGAACAAATATTTATGGTATGCAATGAAACATTCGAGGCGAAAATCGGAAAGGGTTCTAGTTGTAAAACATGATCGTGCATTTGCAATCTCTGCAATAAATGTTCATATTTAAGTTTAACATTTTTATTTTATATTAAAATTGTTCACAATGAATATGTTCACTGGTTTTGATATTAACAATTTCTCTTAAGACCAGTACGTTCATTTTACAGTTATTTTACACTACAGTTTTTAAAAGATAAATTTAATATTATTATATGTTAAGTATGATATTTTATAATACAGCGTATATAAAATGTTATTTTGGTATTTTTAAACGCTTGAAAATTACTCTCGTTCTTACCCATAACGCGTTAGGTCTTTGTAGGGAGTGTCTATTACGTAAAAACGATTCCAGTTACATATAAAATCTTGTTCGTATTACCTCTTTCAAAAAGCGGTCACATATGTACTAACAGGAAACATTTAATAAACATCACAAAATTGTATATCAAGAGCATTGTATTAATAGTTGAATAAAATTATTTATCTACGGTCATAATGAACACGGATACGAACATATATATAAGGATATTGAAAAGACCGAATGGTAGTTACAGAGTGAATTATGATTTTATCCAGTAAAAAGGTAATGTTTATTAAAATTGAGATTTGTTTCGGCTATTAATATGTAGTAGTAATAGAGATGAACGATCGCGATATGGTTGGCAGTATTAACGGTTAAAACTGTATACTATAAAGATTAAAATTGAATGTTAATATTTAAATAACATGTTATATATACTGGCTCACAATATCAATTCACTTCAGTAAATTATAAATAATATATTTATTATACTATTGTTTTATATTCTTAACGAGTTTCATAATCGTTATCTACGTATATGACAGTTACAGAGATTTTCTTTTTAATTAACAAAAATTTTGATATTACAACTTCATCTTAAAATCCTCTTTTCTTAACCTATTAAATCGTCAAACTCTTTATGCAAATATTTATAATCGATTCGAGGCCCCTACAAAAGTTGGCTTAACTATCCTCAAAGCCTCAATAGGTCCCACCAACAAATGGCGAACAACCAATTAAAAGAGAATTTCATAGTTGAACGACATCAATTAACAACACTGACTTCCGATATGACGTTTGATAGCATTTAAATGTCGATCGATTTTGCATTTCACCTACTGTTATACCAATTAGTCGTTTAGTGCCTTAATGTAATTAAGATAGTTTTGCTTTATAACATATTAATACTATGATTGAAATTAATGTTAACTATGGTTTGTAAAAAACTTTTGATATAATTAACAGGCTTTTTAATAATCTATTTAAAAAATAATAATTCGGTAACTATATATGTATAAATACTGTGCAAAATAGTCTACTTATAAAAGTTTATTCTATTCTAATTTTTGCATTGATTGATGATTAATAGCGACTGGTACGCTATATTTAATCCGGTTCGCAGCCTGTTCGTTCTTAAAACTATTTAATTTATTTAATTTTTTATTAAAGTGCTTAAGTTATAGTGTAGATAACGTTGAAAGACTAATCATGTAACAAGTGGACGCGTGTCGTGTTTTATGTATGACTATCCTCATTCTGCCATACCAGCGAGAATTATTCGTTGAATCGGATATAATTATTTGCGTGGTAGATGTAATATATTTGACGCGATAATAAATTCTATAACAGAGACTACGGGTTAAATTATAGCGTCTGAATAATGCATTAACTGTTGGGTAGGAGGTAGTAAAACCGATCCCCTATGTGGAACTCGGTCGAACGCCTCTACTATTTGCAAACAAGTTGTTCTAGTTTATAGCAACTTTATGGTCGAAAATTTTATGAGTTTTCAACAAGTACTTGTATAAAGTACAAATTTGGAACCGATTTTGTAGGAAAAAGTGTTCATTACAGATAGTACGGTGAGATAAGTAATCTGATCTGGTTTTGGAGGACCATGTTAACTATGACCCGTAAAATAGAGGAATCTTCTCTTACGAATTTGATTTCGATCAGTTATAAAATAACTTTCCTCCTACAGTATAAAATTTCTTCATATACTCGTATATGCACTGTTATTTAATGAAAAGTATGGTAATATAGTACGGTGTGCGGGAACGTACCATTGCATTTCGTGGCTTGGCACCGTTTAAGTAGTTTTGTTTTATAACACATTCATATAATATTTTACTGATCACTCTAGCTTTTATAACCTAATTTTGTTTTGGATAAAGTTTTTCTTTGACCTCTGATGTAAATTTGGAAAGGTCACGAAGGTCACTTCCAGGCGTCCTTAGGAAAACTAAAATTTCTGTTTAATTATAACCTATTATACCTTTTTTCATATTTAGTTTTCGTAACTTTTTTTTAATAAAGAAATTACATATATTTCATACTAATTGTCAAAGAAATATGATCGCTGTGACGTATTTATATCGTTATATTGAATATTAGATTAAAATGGCCTATAAATGTGGCATAATTGAATTTCCATTACCGCTCGCTTCAGTCTATTCATGAATACAATCGACGTTTCAAATCCATCGGTTCATTTCTTATAAGACGAGATCGATACTTCCTCAGCTGCTTAGCAAACTTGTTTTATTAAATTCAAATTTCGTGTTGTACTTATTAATTCAGGAGAGCGTTTCCGTACATCGTGAGATGACTGCTTTTTACATGAATATCGTGTGCTCAAATTTTTTCAATGTAACATTGTTAATCGTTAAAAATATTAGCTATATGGATGAGACATTCTTAAATTTAATGTTTTTAGGAGTGAATAAAACTTATTATATTACTGTTTATAGATTAGTTTACTTTCACAGCAAAATTAATCAATCCTTATTCAAAGTACAATATTTAATGAGTTATTATAAGGTATCAGGTATATAGATTTGGATAAATACATATATACGCATGCTTCCTCTCGTCTTTTAGGTCAAAATATGTATATCTGTTTGACATTTTCTTTTATATTAGTTCGCATAAAATCTATCAAAAAATTTTATGCTGTAGTTAAAAAAATAGACTTAATTGCATTCATAATATAAATAAAGCATTTTTTATTTAGTATTTAGCTTTATAATTGCAAATTTTAGCGTTCGATTTAAAAGTTATAAATTAAATAACCCATACGAGTTTAAAATCTAATTCCGGCATACCAATCCGTCCCATACCTGAAATATCTCAGATTGTTTTTTCGTTCATCCCTCGGGTATTAAAATTGTATAAAACAAATAAATTTCAACACGACCATTTATTGGTTAAATTTAGGAATAATTTCGTGAAGTTCATTTGTTTTAAATTAATCAATTGATTAATGTTACTCTTTTTTCTACATTGATTTAAAATGTAAACAGTATGGTTGTTAATATTGGGAAAATAAATGAAATAATCCACAATTAAAAATACTTTTTGTAAGTATTAATTTCATTTAACTCTGTACATTTAATGGCATACGGTCTGCCGTCTTTCTCAGTTCTTAGTTTCCGCTCTACGAGCTTACATCGTAAATAATAAAAGACAAATTTCATTTCATTTAAAGTTTTTCATTCATAAATCGTTGATGACGTGGATATGTCGTATGTTTTATAAATGTAGTACAATAAGGGTAGCGGCAATATTCTGGAATCCCTCATAATGCCAAATACATATTTGGATAAAATGTTACAATGGTATAAAAATTTTAGGGTACGTGTCTTGTAAACTATTTTCTCATGATTTTTTTAACTGCAATACTTATCTGAAATGACAAGGGATCAAATACAATTTTTAAATCTTACTTTTATGAGAAAATATGTTTATTGCTTAGCAAAGATCATAAAATAGAGATATATTTTGATAATAAGACAATTTCAAAGTCAATAAAAGAATTAAAGTAATTTTCTATATACAATTAGGCAGGACTAATTTTTGGAATTTATTTCCATAACCACAAAAAGAAATTTTTTTTTGAATAGGTAAACTTATTTATAAAACAACTATTTCGATCATCGCTTTAAATGTAGATGAGATATAGATTTGATTAATACATGTAGATAATAATCTTATCGTTCCTCCTAATAAATTATTCGAAGTAGCAACTTAAAACATCTTATGGGTAAGGGATATTGCCTTAGTAACGAGTCACATTGTATCAAAACTAAGTTCACTGTTTAGTCGTTTACTGTAAAACAAGTTTTGCAAGTTGGTGTTAAGCAATTCACTTAGTTTCAAACATAATCACGTATCTCCAAGTTTAAACTTAAATACAAATGTGAATTTAATATAATGGTATATAATATTATACCCATAACCTTTCTCTTAAAGAATAAACCGTCTAAAAATAAACAAGTTATTATTACGTTTCATTGACAAAACTTGTCTATTTTACAGAAATACATAATTTATAATTTCTTTAATAATAGTTCAGGGAGGCTTTTACACGTGCGTTGTTCAAAATATGTCGTAAATAATGAAGAAATTGTTTTGTGTACTATACAATTTATTTAACCACACACAAATTATAGAATAGAAATGGATTTTTTTAAATCAAGATGGATAAAGCGGTGGAACACACAAAGTTTTTGTACAATTAATGATTTTAATTTTATTATCCGCTAATGTAATGCAATCAACACAAATAAATCAAAAGAACCTTTATGGTATACAAACTGCGGTTGACGTTTTAATTTATATTGTTTGACTTAATATTGAATTTGTTTTCATTGAACTATCTGATAATGGGTTCTGTGTTTGATTATCAAAATATAAATTATGTTATGATATATAAAAAGGGAGGTTTTTTAATAATCAAATATTTTAAAACTAAATTAAGAAATTATTACATCAAACATAAATACAAAATACGCCGGTATTTTTGTTTTATATTATATTTTTAGTTTTTGATTATTAGATTTTTTCATCACCTCAAAATCGGTTCGGGAGTTTTTACGTGATTGAGTTATATATACAAACATAAATAGAAAACTTTCGCTTTTACAATATCCTTTTGATTACATAGTATTGAGGTTACTGGTAACTGTAATCAAACAACTAGCCTAATTCTTTTATTCGATACGGACCCTGCGGCCTTGGGAATGATTTGTACGTGGCCGATTATTTACGATTCGAATTTAAATGTTTTATCATTTGGTTTTGACACCACATCATGTGGTCCCAGAAGTCTTTTAAAACTAAAAACAAAACCGTAGCAATTTATTTGAGTACCAAAATACTATATTTGATTTTTTTTTATTACGTATCGTGATTAATGTCCAACCTGCTATTACATGTAGATGCAATATAAATTACTCGTGCTATATTGATGGTATTAGATTAAAGTAATTAATTGAATATCTGGTAACGTTTATCTTTTCTGCTTAACAAACTTTGAAGTTGACCAAATAATTCTAAAGTAACTTGACATCAATTTGTATCCCTTTAATTAGAAAAGTTGTAAGAAAGTTGTAATCTCTTTAACCCTATTTTCAAGGTAAACAAAATGCTATGGCTAGAAATATTGTCTCTTAATTTAGTAATGAGAATGTCTTAATAATATAATAAACATTTATTATATACCTCAAACATTGTTATCCATTTTTATTATAACAAACTAAATTAGGTAATAACTGGCTAAACACCTTTGAAACCGTGATATCACCGCATTTTATTGTAATAAGAGGACTCTGAATTCTTTGACTATACAATGCTCATGTGTAACCTCTCATTTTCTCTGCCGAAATTCAAAGGGGATCTTACAAAGCTTTGTTTTGCATGGCTGCGAGAAAACCTCTGAAAGGTTGGCTTTTTAGATAAGGCCTTCTTATAAATTCCCAGCAGCAGGGCAGGGTGGTGAGTTAAAGTTTTGTCCGTGGGAATGCGAGCAGATGCTACAATTCCCATTGTAGTTTGAGAGGGTCGATTTTTTATGGCGCAATTGCTATGCAACGTCCCTTATATTACGAAAAACATATTACACAATTTACCATTATCAAATTCATAATAGCCGTAGAAAAATTGCAAAAAATAATAATATAATAGCGGACGTATGCACTTATATATATAATTGAGGCTATATATAATCTACATTTTCTCAAAATGTATGTATGTTTAAAGACTATTATTGAAGAGTGAACGTGTACATTATGCGATGCCTCATTTAATATGTATGGGTGTTCGAGGTTAAGGATTGCTTATTATCGGATGGGTGAAAACGTTTTTTGGGTCAATTGAAAATATAAACACATTTCTTTGGTATAAATCGTCTTTAAGATAAATTTCAGATAATTCAATCATTTTTAAATTAGCATGAGTATTATTTAATGTATTTTATTCCTTTCTTTTTTTTTTGGTAAAAATAATAATTAAATTCTTAATACGCAATAAAATATGGCATGTGTAGTTTTGTTATAAACCTGTTGACGGTTATAAACATAAAACATAATAATAAAAATTGTTGCATACACCTATTATGTATGATATAATGAGGTGGAATTCAAACAAGTGTAAAATAAACAAAAAGTTGAGTGTGAACAAACTTTATAATGTTATTCTAAATAATTAAAAGAAATGTTACTATAGCACACGTTTTTTCTGCGATTGTATTTTGTTAGAGTATAATGAAAGGTAAAATAGGTTTAACGTATTAATTATAAATGGATGGATCTAATATTAGAATAATTTTCATTTTCAAATACATTAGCTAAATAAATATGATATGTAATGTGACTTACCAATAACAGACAATCTGATTTGGAAATTGCGTGTAGGAGAATTCTTAAAGTCGACTCGACAGCGGTATACTCCTTCATCATCCAATTGGACCGTGTCAAGCGTCAGAGAGGCCGGTCTGGCAACGGTGGCGAAATAAGCCCGTGGACCAAAAACATTAGGATCTGACCATTGCAAAGCTTTGTTAAATGATCTTCCACGAACGTCAAAGCTGAAACAAAGGATTATATATTTAGTTTGAGTATAATATTTAAAAAATATTAAATTTCATTTGCTTTAATAACATACTTTATTAATAAATCAATGTCCAATAATTTTGTTATTATAAAGTATGCTTTACTTTGTTTCAATAATATGTGGAGCCATGACTGATAAAGTTCTTTCGATAATTATTATTTCTATTTGGGAAGTCCAACAGTTCTCAGATAGAAATTCCAACTCCATTACAATTATTTATTTTAGAAGCAAATACACATAAAGTTTAAGAAATTAATTTGAAACGCCACACAGGTAATACCATTTCAAAGTCATATACGCTTTCACTGCTTAAAATAAGAGTTTCAATTTAACTTTCGATTACAGAAATCAAATATATTAATCCTTTTTTCAAATCCTGTCATTATTACTATATTGATTTTCATAATATTCCGTTTTCTTTTATTTTTGTTTTAACACGTTACTTATAAAAAAACCTCTTTTGGTTTTATGCCAGTTTGGAAGTATTGAACATAATATAATATTTTCTAAACTATAAGCAAAAGATAAATAGGTATTCATATAGAGATGAAAACATTAAGTTTAATATAAAATAACGCTCATTTTAAATGAGTTTTGTGAAAATCATAGAGGTCATAATGTTATACATTATCAAACATATTTTTTCACATTCCAGACAATAGCAAAATTAATTATACTGTGCATGGGCGTACTAAGACATATAATGAGCATGAGCATAATGCTTCTTATATAATAAAAGAATAGAACCGCATTCATTAGGCTTAGGAAAGGTATTTCAGTAACTGCTAAGCTTACTCATGGGAGCTATGCTGTTAACCAAGACATAATGTGGCTTTACCTTAATAACTGTCGTAAAACTTATAATAACGCTCAAGATACCAACTAGCTACATTTTTATGTACGGCAATTATATTATGATTATTTATTCTTGTTTAACATGTAATTTAAACATGTAATGTGTAAATAGAAGTCATATTTTTTTACTTCTAAAACGTCACAATATTGAAAGTTCATAATCTACAATGTAATTTAGTATATGAAGAAAAAACAATACAGAGAATTTTATATTTCGATATCACAAACACATATTTTTTGTAATGAATAATAAAAAGAAAATATTTTTGTTGCTTGCAAATAAAATTCATTTTAACAAGTACATAAAATACACCCTAACAAGCGCCCTACAATTTATGATGCTCTAACAATTTCATCGCACGACTATCAGATGTTATTTTATAGCATGCATGATTCGAAAACCGCGAAAGTATTTCCCTTTTCCCATCTAGTGCCTGTTGTTCCAATTAGCAACAGTTAATTAAAATTTATAATGTGTGAAATTTAAAAATACGAAATTATAATTCAAATGTTCTAATATTCTATAGAAATGCAAAATTTAATAATGTTTTGTGGAGATTCAATATCTATGTATTTTTGTTACACTTATATTTAAGTATAGTATCCTTTTTGTGTTATAGAAAATAAAGATAAAAATAATAAGTATTTTTCATTAAATTAAACCTATAAAACGTTATAAAAATAATTAATAAAGAGGATTATAAAAATAAACTAACTGACGACAAAATAATTGGTATTTTAATTAAATTCATCCGAAATTAAAAAATAATAATTGTTATAATTATGAAGTTGATCTGTTCTGCCAATAACTTGGAACAGATTTTCTAAATATCTTGAACAACTGGCGCTAAAATTCACTAAAATGTATGTATGTATCGATTACAATTATATATTTGTGGTCTTATATTGTCTTGTTTAACTGGTTGCAGTATAATTATTAATAATTTTTATATATTCTATGGAATAAGTAGCTTTCTAGTGGAAGAGATGATAAAAGGTATGGCGTGGAAGTTGTACACAAACATGAATAATTGATTGGTAAATTATGTTCCTGCATATTATAATAAACATATTTAATATGAGTATGCAGTGAAAGAAAAAAAAAACAACAAATTGATTGTTTTTGTCATCACTCTATAACAATTGTTTATAAAAGTGTTGTAATATAAAGAGATATTCAAACGTTGTGAGTTTTAACGTGACCAACGTTGGAAGGAAGAATTTGGGTTATGAAAGAGTTTATAGTTGGTTTAGGGTATTGAACATTGTCGGCGAAGTCATACTATAAGATGTGACCACATTTGACCCAGCGGTTACAAATATTTGATTCTTATAATATAATTTGATTAATAAAAATGCAGACAAAATCAGACCCTGATTGACAACTTTATGCTCCGACATTATCGTCTCAAATGGCACAAAAATTATGGGGTTTTCCCCAAAGAAGATTTCATGTTAAAGTACACGCTCGTGGTAGTGTAAAGCTTGTATTTAAATTCTGCAGAATACAGTACAAACGCATCTATTTAATACATTACATATACTAAAAGGAATACAAATAATTTCAGAAAAAAAAATTAAAGGTAAGGTGATATAAAAAAAATTAAAGAGACAGATGTTGATACTTGTGATTGTATTGTCAAAGAAAAAAAACACATAAGATGTGTCTAAAAGACAAATTAGAAGTGATTCTTTAAGATGGTGATAAAATAAAATATAGAAAGAAGAGGCATTTTAAAAGTTAAAAATATATTAAGAAAATTATCTTTTCTAATACATATTATAAAGCTACCGTTTGTTTGAACGAGTTAATCCCAAGGTTAATCGGACTTGCAGTTCGATTTGAAAAATTCTTGCAGTATTGGATAGTCCGTTATAAAATCGGCAGTCATTTTTTTGGAGAGAGATTCTAAATAAGAAGAACAACTGATAGACTATTTCATCTTATCTGCCCGTGATCACAGTTGCTGCAAAGTAAGCAAAATAATTAATACAACGGGAGTGTGTAGTTTTAAAATAATAAAAAACGTAGTATATCCGAAAATAATTTTAGTTTTAGGTTACCAATAGAATTCCCGTCACACATTATTTAAAAATTAATGAACCAATGCTATGTAGAAATATAACATATTCAAAAGATAATTTGATACAAAAATGAAGTAATTCTGCAGGAGTTCAAAGATAGGTCATACGTTATTTTGACGTTGACAAGGTAAAAAAAAAACCGTAATATAATGGAAGCTAATGAAAATTCTAGTTTATTACTAACTTTAATATAGAGTAATTTATTAAAAACAGTAAAAATATTTTTACCATCCGGTAATTTTTAAAAAAACTGTGTTGTAAAGCCTTTAATATATATGAAAAATGTAACATAACTGTAATTGTAGACTGAAAAACCTTTGGATTAAACTGGTAAACCCAAACTTATGATATATATGAACTTGTATTTATGTGTTAACAGCTGGCAACGGACACAAGTTCATATCATCGATTGCACAAACCATAATATATTTGTATATGCACAAGAAATGTATTATTCTAAACTTTATTTATCAGTTATAAAAGTTTTAAGATTTATATCTACTGCGAATGGTTTATATCACTTTTGTATTCCATACAACTAATTTGATACGTATATTTATTACATAAATACTATGCTAAAAGAATTTCATATCTCCATTTTTAGTCAAGGTTAACTAAATAGAATAAAGCAATTTTAAAATTAAAGAGAAACGCACGATATTGTACTGGATCAAGCAATAATTATCGTTACTGTACATATGTTAATAGTTTACATTTTATAACTACCAATAGACTTTTAATACTGATTTCTTTGAAGTTTGTATATTGAGAAGGTTTTGGATTTGTATGGTTTTCAAAAATACTCGCTTTCTATATCCCATTTTAAACAACTTGACGAAGTACTGTTATCTATCCTTATGGCGATTGATAATAATTTCTTAGGTTTGAGCTAACGTCAGTCTAGTTTCCATATACCTAACTACTAACTTCTAACCTTAAAGAGGCTCCGGATCGAAATATAATGATGGATAAGTATGAGAAACAATAAAAATCCCAAAGGATATTTGTGCGTCAACGTCAAGACCAGACAGAGCAGCGCGCTAACGAACTCACCAAAAATATTTTCGTCGTAAATTCATTCATAGAACGTTCTTTGAGACAGTACTAGTAGGATTATTTCAAATTTGGTCAGGTAGAAAGATGTGCTTACACGGTTGAGGTGAGAATTTTACGCACGTTAGGTAAGTATCCCTTAAAGCTACACCTGGGTCGTAATTCTCAGGCACTGTTATAGGCCCTCTCCTTGCAATGCGATGTACCCAGTACCGCAAAGTTGTCACTTGGAATGCTGAGAAGTTTTCGTCACAGCACTTATTTTTGTTTATTAAATCATCTATCTTATTGACGATATCTCCAATCTATATAAAAATCCAATGTCTACAGAAAACATGCGAAATGTTTGTAAGTAACTATGCAAGCGCGTTTAAGAAAGACCTCTTAGAGGTATGTGGTATTTACAGGGATGAGAGGATAAAGGGATAAATAATAATCCCTTAACAGACACACTTTCGACACCAGAATGATTGTTTTTATACTTTATTGATAGAAATACCTACCAAACAAATAAAAAGGTTGTAATTGAAAATATTGGTGGCGTTAAATTTATTTTTTTATATGAATACCACATTTCTGTTGATTGACTTTATTTGAACATTGATTCGATGCTTCACAGTTTTCGGTTTGAATCAACTTTTATATGAAAATTTATAATGTTATTTTGGTTACGAAAAGGATTTCTGTTATTATTTACTTAATTTGAAAAAGTTTAACATATTATTTTTAAACAAAACGCTTAAATATAATTACTTTTGTTGTCCTATGACTATCTTTACCTATAAATAGGTTTTCCGCCGGTACTCTTCCCTGCTCGAAACCAGAGTACCATGTATACTCTATCCTCATTTGTATCTGGAGTAACGTCACAGGGAAGCGATGCTGTCCGCCCCAGCACGGCATCTACATCCACTGTTGACACTGTAAATAAAAAATGTATATGTTCATCTGATTGCTATTTAATTTTATAGAAGAGTTCAATGGTACATTACTAATTAGCGTACGAGTATTTGATTAGAAGTAAATAACATTGAAATTTTAATTAAGTAAAGTTTTTTATGACATTATTATCTTTATATTTAGCAAGCTACTAAAGAATATTATAAAAGAACCCTTATTTTTAAAGTTATATATTTTTCAATGCCTAAAGCCTCTACAAAAATAAGAGTCGCAGAGAGCGACTAAGTGAATATCACTGTATTTCCCAACACAGTTATGATTCTCAGCGTCAACCTCTCAGGCAATAAGAAGACATGAATATAAATAGACGTAATATTAAAACGTCCTTCTTCCCGCACGAAATAATCCTCTTTTCTTTACGGAAAACTGTCATCGTGTTAGGGCCGAGTAATATGCACCATCAGTCATACTTAGTAGGACTTTTCAATTTACTTTTGAAGATCATCCAAATTAAGATGTATTACATGATAGTGGTAAGAATTGATGACAGTTCATTTTTTTAACTATAGTGACTACAATGCTACAAAATAAAATTATTTTTAGTGAGCAAACATTTATAAAACAGAATTGTTTTATATTATATTATAAACGTTAACATGTCAATATAATTATTTGATATCTAAAAGTAATGAGTAGTTCAGTAAAGAAAAAAACAAAATGTAAGTGTCACCTGTTCCGCATAATCCAACAAATATATTAATTATTCCATATTAGAGGGTTAAGTCCCTAATATCAGATCTTTTGCAATGATTGTGTCGTGTTGGAAGGCACTAACGAATTGTTCCACTTATAATCGTGGTTAAAGTAACAACTTGGAAGCGTGGGTTCACGCTATTTTTAGGATTTTATTCAAAATATACATATCTTAGGAATTAATAGATTTTAATGGATATATATTTATAAAATAATAGTAATTAAAAACACGAACGAATAATACAGATGTGTTTTGTTAGCTTAAGAAAATAATTATAAAATCATACGTCTAATTTACAACTTTTAGAAGCAAGAAATTTTTATAAACTTAAATAGACTAGAGAGGAATTCTCTGTTATAAAACATCCCCCACTAGAGCAATAACCTGAAGCTTTAAAAACTAAAACAGTATTAAATTCTCCAAAGAAGGGCTAAGAAAAGCTTTAACGTCTCTCGTTCTCTCTATATATCATATTTTTTCCAAACTGGAGATATATGAGCGGCGGTTTTGAACGTGACAGACTTCCGGGTGTAATATTAATAAAATTATTGTGGAAACACGTATCAAGCGTCAAGCCTGACCTACTCTTGCAACACGCTCCACAGTGGGTAAAGAACAGCTGGCGACATCATTGTTCAAACATCCTAATCGTGACGTTTCGAAATAATCCATACTTTACGAAAACTCTTCTCATCTAAATTTTCAGAGGCCAATTTCACTTATATAAATTTTTCATCTTACAATGATACTTCTTTTGATATTTTTGTATTCCAATAAAGTAATGTAAAATACGGATTCAATGGCACATAAAAGCGATTGCGAAAGGGAACGGTAATTGGCTGCCTATATTTCACTCGATAGCATCGCGCTTATTAAGATATTTTACCAATTCTTTTTATCAAGTAAGTTAAGCTTTATTATTGCGTTTTTTAATCCAATTACACAACTATAGTTTTATTTAATAACTGTGTGAATTATGAATCGTTTCGCTATTTTTAATAAGATTTAGTACAAAACAACGGTTTTTTTTTGAAAATTCTATGAACGTAGAGTAATTTTATCCATTCGTTCCGCTGTCCAGAAATTTCGTAATAAAATTAATCGTTTCAATAAAATTGGGGGAAATAGAGGTGCCCATGCATAAATACTTTTTAATAGGTTGGACTTTTTGCTTTAACGCTTCGTAATAGAAGCGAAATAGAAGGCGTACTTAAGAAAATTATCGTTACGAGGAGAGCCACAATTTTCTTTAAGACAATTTTTGCTTGCTTAAATAATGTTTTTAAATAGGAAATAAAGCAAAAGTACATTTGTGACAGTAAAAAAAAATTACTATTATAAGAATTAATAAAGTTTAAGTTGTTATTTCAAGTACCTACCGGTACATTTATAGGCAATCCTCAGTCAACAGAAGTAAAAATTTCGTTTCTTATAAACACAGCTCCGGATTTGATAGCATATTAAAAAACCGTCAAAATGTTCTCCTCCACTCTGAGCAATTGGAAATGTATTCTCTATTTTAATTCTCTCCAAGCAGCACGTTTAATGGCTTTTACGTGAATCCGGATCGAATATGTTCGTTGTGTTAGAAATTGAATACATTTTACTGATTTATTACGCTTCAAATTATGATTTATGTTAAAGTTTACGTACCATTATTCAACATAACAATATATTTGAAAAAAGCTATAATAATGATTTTATAAGAATTTTAAACCCTGGTAAAACTCAAATCACCTTGAAGTTATTCTGAAAATAACGGATGTAAAAAAAATATCGATATTAAGACACTTACCTAAGTCCTCCGCATCTTCGTTCCATTCTCCTTCCTGAGCACAGCAGACAGCCAGCATCACAAGCAGTCGGAGCCACTTCATGGAGCACATGGTAGCATTATGAGCTCACACAATCACATTTACATGGTAATGTTCTTATTTCAATGTTCATTTTAACAAATTTTAAGGTTGAAGACTTAAGAAGGAGGCCATATCTGTTTGTATGAAGTGTTACTTTTAATCCTAATTACAAGTGTCTGATACTGAGAAATTGTTTTTATTTTTTTTTTATAAAACATTCATGTAAAGAATCATTTTCATAAAAAATATTGTAATTTTGTATTTCCCGTTTACAAAAAGTCGTAAATATATATCAAATTAAGACATATTCAAGTTAAAGTTTTGGAGATCAACCAACGTCTTTAGCCAGTTGTGTCAGAATGATCGAAATGCCTAGCAACAGGCGGCTTTGTTCAATAGATCTATCATCTTACCTTTAATAGTTTCGACCGGATGCCAGACATAATAAAGCCAATATCCTACAGGGTTTCTACGAGGAAATTGACTTTCATTAGATTACTACAGTTCCGTTCCCTGGAGATTTTACTAAATTAAAGCTATCTTGATTTGTAAACTTTGAAATTACTCCTTCATTCGTTTTAAATATAATCAGGTGAAATTTATTCAATGTTTGTAATATAGAATTTTATCATGAATGTTTCAACAAGAATAATCAATAGAACTTATTAGACTCTTTACATTTAAAATAATACATTTAAATATATCGTTATTATAAAATTCATCTTAAACTATTATTTAATAAAAACGTTTTGTGTTTTATTGATTACTTAATAATTATTATAGAAAGATTGTTGATGTTAGTTGAATTTTGAAGAGTGTGAGAACTAGTAACCACAAAAACAATGGTGAAAATCTAAAATATATACGTATATTTCATATATTAACTGCATTTCTTTACTTTACTTTAGACTTTATTTCATTATAAAATATACATTCGCATGAGATGATGACAAGTTTAATTACATTTAAAAGCCTAGCAAACTGTTTCGTTCATAGACACATTAAAACGTCAACCACCAAGTCAAACATGTGTTCAAAGGGTTAACCTTTCAGTCCCTTGTCAGAAATATAAAACTGACGTTCGGTAACGTTTAGAATACATGAGTAAATAATATCTTTTAATATACAGCGGTCGGACCCTTATCCAGTAAAGTTACCAGAGATGTAAAGAATTATTCTTTTTCGATTATGTTGTATAACATTCTTTCACATGGAATGAGAACTGGTTCGAGGGGACCCTTGCTAGATTGTGCGGCAAATTTAACTTCAAAACGTGACTGCACTACAAGAATACCTATTAGTATAAATGATTTATGTTCCAAAAAAACACATATTAGTATATTTTATGGCAAGACAGGACAGTAAACGGCCATATAAAATGAGTGGACCGAGTTATATTTGATCAAGTATATATTATTAACGTGATCAAGTATATATTATTTTGATTATTTTTTGAAAAATAGGACTTTGAAACAGTCATTTCGAGTAAAAGCGTGTTTTCAAAAATTATTGTATCATAATTATTGACATGACATAGGTACGTAATCATGTTAAACTACGAGTTATGACTTTACCTGTACACAACTTTAAGAAGCTTTAATTAACATTAATTTTTTTAAGTATCATAACACAAAAGAAACACGTACTTTTGTCTTATTCTTATTGAATATAAACCGGCCTACATTCGTTATCCGATAAGGTTATTTATTGTTAGCGTTTGTTCTTGACCGCTTCACGTTCTTTATAGCGTGAACCTTCTATTTCGGAATTGCCAATTTATATTTGATGTATATGTTCAACTTAACTTGTTTAACAAAATAATATCAATTCTGAGAAATGTGTTAACTGATGCGTTTGTCATTATGTAAACATTTTCATATTCATACATAAACCATTAAGTTAGCAAAACTTTAGGGTTCTCCGTAACAAACTTTAGTTTGGAAATAATCGTATATTATCCGATCTTCATAATGACTATTTATAACTTATAAAATGTAAACATAATTTGTAATATAAATATTATTAGTCTTTTAATTTTCTAAGTTTAATATTTTGTGACATAATGTCTGAGGACGTCTCGACAAAAGTTTTCAGGCTTTCACGCTAGTCGATATTCATTTTGTGCAATGTACCGCGGAATAATGACAGAAGGCGACCTCAAAGCGTTCACGGTTAGGAGCGGCCAATGCTTTGGAAGGACCCTTTCGGGTGAACGACGATGCTGAATCTTTTATTAGTTTCGTGAATGGATGGCCAGTTGACATAACCGTCGTCGACAGCTGTTGTGATATTACGCCATCTTCTACAGAGGTCGTTCATTCTATTTGGGTGGACCTATTTTCTTGGATTCACGTGGAATATGGGCCTTGGAACCAACGATATCCGTGAGAGGAAATACAGCTGAAATAGCAGATATGAATGTATTGTGCGTCGTCACAAAACTTGTGGAGTAGGTATTTTCCTAAATTCGATATCCCAGCGGCAAATATCAGTTAATCCTTGTTAGGCAAAATACGTTTTTTATTCTTTATTTTTAATGTAAATAGTAAACCGGTACTGGAATACAAGGAAAATGATATCAACGATGTTATTTTTGCAAAAATATATATTCGTAATGTAAGGAACATGTCTTTTACTTGTAATATTTTAATATAAAGAAAAGTTTTATATGAAAGTAATTCAAAAAGCATCATAATATATGAATAGAAAATATTTTTTTTTGTACATAAATAATAGTTTTTTGTATATTTATTATCAAAACAGTCTTGTTTTGCTAAATATATTTCACATATTTGGGAGATGAATGTTTTCTTATAATAAAATCAGCTCAGATCAAAACCAGTGCGCATTTGTGAAATATTTTTGGGTCCCTTTTTCAGACCGTTTAACGTTCAACTTTATCGCATATTTCTGTAAATAGGAAAAATTATTTTAAATATGGAAGGATTTTCGTGTGTATTAAAGACACTCTAAGTGGAATTAATTTGTAGATTCATTTTTGCCTCAAAGAATAACAAATAATAATCATGAGTCATCGGCTTTCCATATACAAACAAATACAAACAAAGTGCGATTCAATATAAATCTAGACACAAATACACGCATATCGTTGAAAATTGTTTTCAAAGGAATCCCTAAAATTAAACGGGTCCCAGCCAGTTGCGAACAGTTTTCTCTCTGAGGACTAATTAGTAGAAGAGTGTTAAAGTCACTACTAGTCAGTTGATGGCCGCTTTTGGGCAGGTCTCAGAGGAGTACCTTTCCGGGTTTTGACGACATGAATAATTTATGTCTGTTATATGAATAGGAGTTCCTTGCCCGTCACTTGATATGGTTCGTTTACCTGAACCATTCATTCTAACATCTTTAATAAATTATGTCACCTTAGGATGGCAGGTGTGAAGTATAATAAGTTTGTTATGATTTCACTAATACGATTTTCTTCATACATCTTAGGCCTATATTTGGAGTTAATTGGTATTATATTAAAATTGTTTCAACCTTAATGTATTTAAACTGAAAAAATACACAGTTAATTACAAAATATTTTTCAAAATAATTGTTAATGCTCTTAATCTCAATAATGTAGTTCATTTGAGTAGGAAAGAGCTTAAACGGGCAACATAATGGGAAAAACAAATCTGTCACACAGTCATTGACCGGCGACGCATTTTTTATTACTCGGCTAAGATTTATTTCTTTAAGATTAGCATTCTTATTTATGCTAATGTAATTTTAATGGCGGTGCCTTTTCAACTAATTTCATTTTGTGAAAAACTCCGGATTTGTTTTAAACCTTGGCTTATTAAGAGGATTTTGGCGACGCTTCGGTTAAAATAAAAATTGTGTTATCAGTTTTCTCGGAAATTTATAATTTCTATGTCTTATACTTTACATTTAGCCGATATCATAATTAATAAGTATATTAAATAATGAATGAAAATTCCTATTATCTTACGTTTTTGTTTCCTGCATCACCCACTATTTATTTTATAAGCCACAGGGCCATGCTACGAATATATACACGGCAAGTTTAATTTTTTAATTCCAAATAATTTTATGCTTTTTCATTTAATTGTATTTTAATCACTTTATTAAATAAGTTTCTGAATATAATAAACTAGGGAAGGAAGGAAGGGAGCTTAAGCAATAAAACGGACATATTCTATAATTTATACCAAAACTCGTTGTTCTTTCACCAGCTTTACTTCATAACAGTTGTGTTATATATGAAATCCCGTGACACTGGCCACAAATGTCGCTGGCGGTAGGTTACCATATATATTATTTTAGCATGCTTTATATATTTATCTCTGAATGAAGTCACGGGTAAAAAGTACGAAATAATTTTTTTATAAATAGTATTCATCTACAATCTACATGAACGGGACTTTAACCTGGATCTTAAACAAAATTATATTTAACCTTGGTGGAGTCTAAAAATGGTTTGCTTTATTTATCAGAAGTAAAATGTTTAACTTAATTTTATTAGTTGTACTTGAAAACATTTTCCAAATATTATATGTATATTAAAATTAAAATTTATTGTGGTAAATTTTAGTAAGGGGTACGATTATTAAAATTCCCCTGGTAAAATATTAAATAAATTTAAATCAGTCTACTTGAGAATCTATACAACAAGCCGACTTAGATTGATTGCTAGCTAAACATCGTCAATGAGTCCACATGTCAAGTTACCTAAGTCACGAAGCCTTGCACCGAGGCAATAAAATCGAAAGAAATTATTTTTCAACCACGTTTAACAAACAAACATTGCCGCGCTTGGTTAACTGGCTGTTAAATTGTCTTTAGATTCCTACTATTGCTATTTGTTTTATCTACTATTCCGGTTAGAAGGCCTAGGACATATTATCAACGTAATCTCCTTAAAATTAATGACCTTTCAGGTTAAACACACGTGTATGAACTAGCAGTTAATTATTGGACTGTGCCACATAAAGCTAATTATAATTTATTATAACAATTGTTTAGCTTGAAATATAAATAGACGAAATGTATGAAAAACTAAA